TTCATTTCACTTCACTTTTCCCAGTTTTGAACAAGTCCATTGTTCCATGTCTGGTCCTAACTGTTGCTTCTTGACCTGTAAACAGGTTTCTCAGGAGGCATGTAAGGTGGTCTGGTATTCCCATTTTTTAAATACTTTTCCAGTTTGTTGTGATCCACACAGTCAAAGGCTTTAGTGTAGTCAATGAAGCAGAAGTAGGTGTTTTTTTCTGGAACTCTCTTGCTTTTTCTATGCTCCAACAGATGTTGGCAATTTGATCTCTGGTTCTTCTGCCTTTTCTAAATCCAGCTTGTACATCTGGAAGTTCTTGGTTCACATTCTGTTGAATCATTGTTTTTACTTTATTATTATTATTGCTCTTAACAATAGCTCTCTTCACAGATATAGAAAAAAACTTATGGTTATCAAAGGAGAGGGGGCAGGGGTAAATTAGTAGTTTGTGATTAATACATACACACTACTATGTATAAAAGAAATAACAAGGACATATTGTATGTACAGGGCACTTTACTCAGTATCTTGTAATAACCTATAATGGTAAATAATCTGAAAAAATAATATGCATAACTGAATCACTTTGCTATACACCTGAAAGTAACACAACATTGTAAATTAACTATACTTCAATAAAAAAACAAAAAAAAATGTTTAACCCAGAGTAGATGTTAGGAATTTGCTAAACCCTTTTCAAATATTGTCTCATTAAACCTGTAAAGGTGACACTGTCATCCCCATTTTATTCAAAGCTTTCACCCCTGATTTGAGTGACTGAAAGCTCTTAAACACTTAACATTGCCTGCCTCCACGTGCTTTATTTTCCTTTGCTTATACTGCTTTACATGTTGTTCCATCAGTGTTCCCTTTGCCCTGACTGAATTGTTTTAGAGGGTGAAATATTTCTTCTCCCCAGCCTTCCCTCATGTCTTTTATCTATCTGCTCTCTGACTTTTTGACCAAGCTGACTTTGAGACCTTAGACAATGCCAGCTCATCTAGTGGACAGTGATCCGCGTCACAACATTTCCAGTGTTTTAGACCACGTGACATTCAGTGTATTGATTTTTCCTGTCTCTGAACTGACGAATTTTGGCTTTTTATTTGACTGTTGCATCTTTTTTCTCCATCAGCTTGTTTTCATTTGAGGCTTCACATGGAAATCTTCTCAGGTGTGTCTTATCCAACAGAAATATTATCTTTCAGATGCTTTTCAGTATTGTAGCTTCCCAAGTCCCAGTGAAAGATAAAGTAATATTTACATTAGGATGTCTTATCTGATATAATCTATGGAAAGTGCTCTAAATATTTATTAATGCAATATACCCTACTATATTAAGTAATATTTCATGTTTATTATCAGATATAGCTTGATATAAACTTAAATTTGATATAAATCTGGATTCTGAGAACTCACTTTTAATCTGATATTTCAGACATGCCTCAACTGTTGTTTTCATGAGGCCACTTTCCTTCATGACTTTGAGGATATTACTCAGGGCTAGCATCATCAAACAAAACTTGGAGATGTTTGTCATCTTCCTATTTATGTTTCTGGGGCTTTGATTGCAACTTGTGCCAGGTTCAGTTAAATACCATGACCAAGGAGACGTCATCCTGTCTCTTGTCAGCATCATGATTTAATCACTAAGATACTCACCAAGTCTTAGAATGAGTCCTGGAGATTTCTGATGGCCATGTCTGTGACTCAGCTACACTTCCTGTATCGTGCACTCTATATTATAGGAAATGTCTGGTGGATATCATTCCAGGGCAGATCCAGCCCCTCCCTCAGCTCCACTGGGAACTCTGTTCATCCCACTTCTAAAACCAAATGGATGGTAAAAACAGAGTGATCATTATTGTTGTTTAGTTCCTCAGTCATGTCTGACTCTTTATGAGCCCATGGACCGTAGCCTGCCAGGCTCCTCTGTCCATGGGATTTCCCAGGCAAGAATACTGCAGTGGCTTGCCATTTCCTTCTCCAGGGGATCTTCCCTACCCAGGGATCAAACTCGTGCCTCCTGCACTGGCAAGCAAATTCCTTACCACTGAGCCACCAAGGGAAGCCCAACAGAGTGATTATCCAGTTAGTAAATATGTTATTTAGCAGGGTTGTCTCAGGTTAACTTAACTAGGCATTACAAGCACAGCTATTTCACTTCTGAGCCACAACCAAAATCCTGGCCATAATGCACCCACTTCAAGATACGCATGGTGAAGTCCACACCGTTCCTCTCTAGTGATCTCCTAGGGTTATCCTTACATTGAGCAAGATGGAACCATGGGCTGAGTTCAGAGGGCACAGGTCTTTGGCCTTACTCAAGAATTAGCCCAGGCTGGTCACTTGCCCTTTTAAAACATCACCAAGAAAACTAGAGTTGTTGAGTATATCTCCCAAGGAACAACTCAGCTGCCCAGAGAGATAGGGAAAAAAATAGATTCATATGAGACTCAGCTATGAATACTTGAGATGCCTTTCACAGCCCTTTCTCATGTCTCTCTGTCCTTGTTTCTGGTGTGGGCCAGGACTAGGTGCTCCTAAGGGCTCCCAATTCTTCAGTGCCCCCTACCCTTGAGGCAAGTATTTTACCCACATTATTTCACTTAATTTTTTATAACAATCATATGAAGTAAGTAGTAGGGTCCCAATTTTATAGATTTATGAAAGCAAAGCTTAAAGTAGCTTGTATCTGTTAATCTCCTCAGTCAGGTTAGAACAGAAATTGAGATCATTTAGGAGTGTTCGTAGAATTGTACATTGCTAAGATATTTCTATCATATTTTGCAAAGGGACTGGTTCATAAGAGATTTGAAACAACCAGAAAGAAAGGAAGGAAGGAAAAAAGGAAGAAAGTGGAAATGGAAAGAGGTAGGGATGAAGGAAGGAAAGAAAGAAAAAGAGAGGAAGGGAAAGAAAAAATTGATCCTTTCCTTCAACAGCTTGAGAAATATGGGTTTAGACATTTAATGATTAGTCCAAACTTTCACATCACGTAAGTGTCAGAATCAAGGTTAACACCTTTTCCTGGCTTCAAAGTTCCTGCTCTTTACAATGACATTCTGCTATCTCCCAATTCGATAATGGTGATGATGAGTTAAGAAAGAAACAAACCAGCAATCTGATGATAATTTGTCATTAATTTTAAGAGATTCACAAACTCAAACTCCAGAATTTGAAGGTCTGAACTAAGAAAAGGAGATTATATACCAAAGCCAAGGTTTTGGCTCCTGTATAGCCACCGCCATCATCTTTTTTATCACAGTGATTATGGTCAGCATGAACTGAGAACTGAGAGCCAAGAACTGATTTCTGGGGTGACACGAATTATCCTGTGCTCCAAGGACGGCTCAGTGAGGCAGGCATTGTTTGCTCAGGCAGCAGCAGAGCCAGGATGCACAGAGGCTGTGCCTGACATTAAAGCCCTGGCCTTTAACTGCTGGGCTCTGCTCTCCCACTTATAATCCACAATCAATTCATGAGGATATCTGCGGAGGCACCAAAGCTTGTTCATGAATAATGGGGGCTTGGGCATCAAACTGACTGGCTTTGAATTTGGTTCAAGAGCTGTGTCATTTTAGGCACTGGGGATGAAGGGGGGAGGATGGGGAAAAGAGAAAGCGAGTTTGGGATCGACATGTGTACACTGCTATATCTAAAATGGATAACCAACAAGGACCTGCTGTATGGCACAGGGATCTCTGCTCAATATTATCTGGCAGCCTGGATGGGAGGGGAGTTTGGGGGAGAATGGATCCATGTATATGTATGGCTGAGTCCCTTGGCTGTCCACCTGAAACTATCACAACATTGTTAATCGGTTATACTCCAATATAAAATAAAAAGTTAAAAGAACTGTGTAATCTTAGACATGTTTCTTAACCTCTCTGTGCTTCAGCTATCATGTCTGTAAAAAGACCTGCCTCAAAAGCTTATGGTAAGGATTAAATGTTTTAAATGAACAATGTTTGGCACATGGTGTTCAATAAATTATAGCTATTGGTGATATTGTTACAATTATATATCAGTACTTTTTAGGTTGACACAAGAGTAAAAAAATGTGGAGTTATAGTTTGTGGATTATATTATATAATCCACCATATAATATAAACTATATTATAGTTGGTGGATTTTGATCCTTGGTCAGACTTTACTAAATTTTGCTTTTCATAATAATGTGTGGCTTTGTGGAGTTCCATCCAACATGCTACGAAAAAGCAAAATTAACCTAATACTTTGTATTTGCTAGAATGCCACAATCTTTATTTCAGGTCTTCTCATTTGATTAAATTGCTGCTCTCTTAAATATTGAAAGAAGCAGACCTCAAAAAACAAAACACCCCACCAGGAAGCTTTTACTCCAAGGAAAGGAAACCATTTCTGTATTTGTTTCTGAAAGATATCTATGATTTCAGTTCTAAGAATGTAAGTTCCAGAAACTAACACCGGGAACAGTCTTCTGCATAGTAGGTGCTCAGTAAATGGTGGTGGTGCTTTAGTCACTAAATTGTGTCGGACTTTTTTGCAACCCCATGGACTGTAGTCAGCCAGGCGCCTGTGTCCATGTGATTCTCCGGACAAGAATACTGGAGTAGATTGCCATTTCCTTCTCCAGGGATCTTCCCGACCCAAGGACTGAACCTGCATCTCCCACATTGCTGGCAGATTCTTGACCTCTGAGCTACCAGATCCTCTCAATAAAGGCACCTTATGGAGAACTCAGTCCCAGCAGATTGTATGATGCATGAGACAAGTGCTCCGGCCTGGTGCACTGGGAAGACCCAGAGGGATGGGGTGGAGAGGGAGGTGGGAGGGGGGACCGGGATGGGGAATACATGTAAATCCATGGCTAATTCATTTCAATGTATGACAAAAACCACTGCAATGTTGTAAAGTAATTAGCCTCCAACTAATAAAAATAAATGGAAAAAAATATATATATATATATTACTTAAAAAAAAAATCAACCTTTGCTCTCTTTCTACTAAAAAGCTGTATCGTGCCACTTTTGCTGTATTTATCTGCACTGAGCCGAAAAGAGCAGCCCGGGCTTCAGCTGTGTGTCTGCTAACTTGACCGTCTAGCTCTTCCCTGCCTGCGGGGTAGACAGCGCCGGCAGCGAGCTGTGTGTGCAGAGCGCGGCCCTGAGTCAGCGTTACATCACCCTGAGTCAGATCCTGCTCCCGCATCACCGCGTCGGGCGGCTTGCTCTGCAGGCCGACACTGCAGCGCTCGCTGCAGTCCTCAGCCCCTCCCAGCGCGCTGCAGTCTGCGCAGGGAAGGAGGGGTGTCGCCGGGGGCGGGCCTGCTCCTGCGGCAGGAATGCCTCGCCCCTCAGCTCGCCCCTGGTCCTCTCTGCTATGGTTTTTGCCATTTCGCAGATGACTCTGCAGCCCCCCTGGCTCTCCTGCTCTTTCTGCCCCTGCTGTTCATTTACTGACCTCTCCCCATCTCCTTAGAAGGATTCAAGGGTAGCCTCTTTGCTCGGGTAATAAACTAAAGAAAGAAGTTGATGTTTGAGGTTAAAAAAAAAAAAAAGAAAGTCTCAATTCTGATGACATGATTTATGACTCCATCAATCTTTGGGGGATAATTTCCTCATCTGTGACACGTGAGATTTAGACCAATGTTTCTGGCACCCGGACCTGATGATGCCCTGAGAATCTGAGAATCTGACTCCGTTGGTCCAGGTGGGGCCTGAAAAACTATATTCTTAAAACCTCCCCATGTGGTTTGGGTGGACAGCCAGGCTCACCCATCATTAGACATGATCATTTTCAAAGTCCTTCTAACTCGAACAGTCTATGAATCAAGTCCCTGAGTCAAAAAAGGAATTTATTAACTGCATCGATTTAGATGGACCCCCAAAAGGTAGAAAGATTCTTATTATTTTATTGTGATAAAAATAAAATGCTTGTATCTTTTTTAAAAACCAAGTTCAAATACCGTGTGATATCACTTATATGTGGAATCTAAGATAAAATACAAATGAACATATTTACAAAACAAAAACAGACTCGCAGAACAGACTTGGGTTGCCAAGGATGGAAGGATGGGAGAAGGAAAGATGAGGAGTTTGGGATTAGCAGATGCAAGCTATTATATATGGAATGGATTAACAATAAAGTCATATATATATAACTGAGTCACTTTGCTGTAAGCAGAAATTAAATACAACATTGTAAATCAACTATACTTCAGTAAAACTAAAAACAAAAAAAGACACAATCATTGGGCAACTGCAGAACTATTTGTGTTTAAGCATGAAATTTTGTCTTGAAAAATTCTAAACTGAACGGAAGTGCCAAGTCAGAGCCCTGTGGCCTCTCACTGCGCGAGTAGGTCCAGGGTCCCAGGAGAGAATGCGGTCAGCACGCTGGGTCAGCAGGATTCCAGCTCTCCCAGGCGGTTGGCAGCAACTGGCCAAGCTCTTTGTGAGCACTTCCTGCCTTGTTTGTTTGCTATGGACTGCATCAGGAAACAAAGTCTGTCAAATTAAAATTTCTGGCTGAGCCCTTTGTTGAGAAAGCTACATTATCTATGACACCAGTGACAAGGCCAGAAGCGAGAAAATATACGTGAATCTCCTCCCTCAAAAGTATTCAGAAAAAGAGAGGGAGGCCAGATGTTTCCTTTCTGAGAGCAAAGGGCCTGAGAACAATGGGTAGGAGGAACAACTATGAAAGGTCCACTTGGACTACTTCCTCAGTGCCTCTGGATGCTACCAAGTTCCCTGAGGGCATCACACTCCTCTATCCTAGGACAGGGCCTGCCAAGTAACAGAAGTTCAATAAATATTAAATAAATACATAAATCAGGCAGTTCTGGTCATCGAAAGGCCACTACCTGCTGCGAGTTAATAGGGGAAAAACTCTAGTGAATTCTAAACTCAGAAAGACAGAGATTAGGTCTTACTCATTTTATGGGGCTTGGCAACATTATCAGTACATTCTGTCAAAATGAATTGGCCAAGAGCTCTTCTAGTTTGAGGGAAAGAGAGGCAACATAAGAACTCATAGTAAGGTTACCAAAGTCTGCATGTATAATATAAATTGTACATATAGTTTTTTTTTTCTTGAAAAACTAAAGGCACCTAACTGTCGATGGTAATACTTATGTCAGTAAGAAAATAGCATTTTTCAAGGTAATGTGTTTACAAACATGAATATGATAGTCTTAGGACAAAACACTGAGTGATTAATAATAGTGAAAATTTTGAATTGCCCTAATTCAACAGGGAACTTGTAAATAAATGCTGATGTTTTTATGCAATTATATTTTTGGTTGAAATCACATTTCCAAAAACATTTACTGCCTGGGGAAATTTATATACGTTAAATCAGAAAGACAAGGCAGCAGAAACTGTTGGCTCCTCCCCCGGCCATCTCCCTTCTCTTTCCTAACAACACAGCTTTGTCAAAGTTTCTCCTCTCTCTGCATAGCTGCGTGCTTCAGTGGGCAGCCCTGCTCTAGGGAAGCAGTCGCCATTGGTGTCCATGAATGCCCCGTGCAAGTGGTAGGCTGAGACATGGACAGGCATAGGTTATTTCATGCCAGTGATGTGGTTTGGGTGGGGAGGAAGCTTCTGGAACGTTTTCCTCCATCTTAAAAAGAGACACAGGAAACCAAAGTTCTGCTTCTACCTATTCGTGTGTCTGCAGGTGATGCCCGCACCATGGCAACTACTAGGCAGCGAGGCTGGGCCGAGCTGACACCAGGAGAAGGCAGGAAGAGAGGAAGGCCTAGATGGGGGACTGGGTGGCTGTTGATCTGCTGGTCCCTCAAACTTGGCATCATCCGCTGTAAGTTGGTGGCCAAAAGTCAATTCATCAAATGTCCACCCACTGTAATCAATTCCCCATATGGCCAATTTGCGGAATTTACTCACTGATTTCAACAATTTAGATATTTAGACACAGATGACTGATTTTCATTTAGTCTTCAAAACAGCACTTAAGAAATATTCAATTTGTCTTTGTCCCAGTCCCTTATTGCTGTAACTTGAGACTGACTGTTAACGAATTGTCCTACTTAAGAAGTCACTTAAATTTGTCTTTGTTCCAGTTCCTTATTGATGTAACTTAAGACTGACTATTAATGAATTGTCCTGCTTAAGAAGTCACTTTTTATCTGGACTTCGGTAAGCCAATTATTTCTGATTGTTTAAGGCAAATGAATATTGAGCCTTGGTTTTCTCTTACTTGCAGCTAAAAGCATATTAATACATGTTGGTTGAGAGAGAGGCAGAAGAATTACCTCTCATTTATTTCTGAATTGTAGGAATGGGAATACAGCTGATTTGTGCATTTATTATGTTTATCTTTGCACTTTCTATGTTTTCCAATTTTTAAAATAATGAATGTGTATACTCTGAATAAATGAAGTGAAAGTCGCTCAGTCGTGTCCGACTCTTTGCGATCTCATGGACTATACAGTCCATGGAATTCTCTAGACCCCATGGACCATACAGTTCATGGAATTCTCCAGGCCAGAATACTGGAGTATTCCCCTTCTCCAGGGAATCTTCCCAACCCAGAGATTGGACCCAGGTCTCTGTCATTGCAGCCAGATTCTTTACTACTTGAGCCATATGAGTAAAGTATAAAACTATTCTTAAAATCTGTGTTCAGTGCTATAAATGGTATAAATGCTAATCTCAGAGGGTTGTAAGAGGGTTGCTAAGTGGCGCTGCATTAAGCTAAGGAGAATGGTGGGTGGGCAGCAAGGCTTCCCAAAGGAGAAGCCACTGACTTAATTCTAGAAGAATAAGTATGCATGGGATGAGTCAGAGGTGAGGGATAGGACCTCTGACTCCATTGTTCCTGATTTGGTTCCTGATTTGAGGAGGACTAGGGGAACACTTTCAGAATATTTATTGTCTCCTCTATGCCCACACTTTTCAAATATGCAACAATTGAAAGCGGGTATTATTATCTCCCTTTTATAGAGCTAAAGACTGAAGCTCAAAAACTCACACAAGGAGCAAATGTTGGAGCTGCAATTTAATAAAAGTCTTAATATTTCAAGCAACAGCCCTCACAGATGAGCTTCCTTGGGGTAGAAAATCAGGACATGGAAGCAACCTAAATGTCCATCAAAGAGGATAAAGAAGATGTGGTACATATGTGCAATGGAATATTATACTCAGTCATAAATGATTGAAATAAAGTCATTTGCAGCAACATGGATGGAACAGAGATTATCATACTGAGTGAAGTCAGAAAAAATACCACATGACATTGCTTATGTGTGGAATCTAAAAAAATGGTACAGATGAACTTATTTACGAGATAGAAATAGTGACGGGTAGAAGATAAATATATGGTTCCTGAGTGTGGGGGAAGTGGGAGGAGGGATAAATTGGGAGTTGGGACTGACGTATACACACTGCTATATATAAAATAGATAACTAATAAGGTGTAGAGCACAGGGAACTCTACTCCATACTCTGTAATGGCCGGTATGGAAAAAGTTTTAAAAAGAAGGGACGCATATATATATATATTAATAATGTTGATCCACTGCGCTATACAGCAGAAACTAAGGCAGTATTGTAAATCAACTATACTCCAGTAAAAACTCAAGAAGATTCTAGCGTGTTAGAGCTGCAGTGACCATGCAGATGAAGAACTGCTGTGATTCTGAGTAAACTGAAAACCAACTCAAAGCACTTAAGCAAAAGCGGAATGGATGGCCTTACGAAGCGAGGAAGTTTGAATAGGGTGGGACGAGCATCAGGCTTGGCTATACCTAGGATTTAAGGCTGTGGCCAGTATAGGAAACATTTCGTCTACAAAAGGAGAGAGAGTCCCAAGAATGCAGAGAGGGGCCCGCAGGAAAGGTGCCTCTGCAAGGCCACTGACCACCTCCCATTGTCCCGGAACCTGAGGTTCCAAAGCAGCAGAAGCAGTGTGTACTAAGGTCAAAGTGGTCCACACTCCCATCCAAAAAAAGGATCTGCATCATTTTGTTATTTGTTGTTTATGTATCACTGTTGTCTGCCCTTTACAGAATCTTATTGCCTCGGGAATCTGGACACAGAGACTCGGTCTTTGTTTCCACAGATAGAGGAAGGAAGGGAACTCACTTTCCAGCATGCAATCATGAGGCACCCTGACCACAGGGGGATCTTTCAAGGTAAGGCTTTCATTACCATTAGGTAGAACGCCTGTTTTACAACTCAGTGCGGAGTATTTATATTTTAGAACCTCCTGATGGAACCATCGAGGCAAAAAAAAAGAGGGGGGACCATCTATTTTCTTTTTTCCT